ACTATTTATTATTTTAAAAATTATTTCAAATATTTGAATTTGTAACTGTGAATTTGTGTATGAGTCTTTTATCTAAGTCTAACGAATAAGAAATTTCTCAAGCGATGAGAAAAAAGAAAATTCGCATGAACACTAAGTTTCCGCGGATCTCAGTTTGAAAATTTCTATCTTGAAACCACCTAAACAGTCAGTTGTAACTAATTCAAGAGTTTAGTACTTACGTTTCTGGAAAAACGTTTACGAAAGGATAGTCAGGCTTATCTATGAAACATCCAAATCCTAATCTAAAATCGCTGGTAATATTTTTCATAACTTCAACCAATGTGCTCCCTAAATAAGCCAATTTGTCTTTATGTGGTTTCATAGATGCCGATATGTCTATAAGATAATAAAGATCTAAGGGGTAATTTTTTGCTCGCCTATATTGAAACTTCAATTCAAATTCCTCGTCTTTTCGAAGAGACAGTTTTACTTTCTGAGGACTAATTTGAATCGCCTGACCATATCCTTCGGATTGTAATGATTTAGCCTCAACTATCTTAAGTGACTTCTCAGGATTTGTAAGATCTTTAGATGAACACCACGTATAATTAGATGATAGAATTTTGTCGCTCATGCAGTAAACTAAACTATTTCCATTTATTGGCTGAAAGTAAAAACCAAAACACTTAAAAAGTCTTGTTTCCATTTTAATATTAAGTTTTATGATAACCGATGCACTTCTTGCATGAAAAAAATTGATATCGTAATGGCTTCCATTTTATCCGTTAGGCAAAAGCGTAACCGAAAATTTCTACCCTTAAATTTACAAACATTATAAAAAGAAATACCTGAGGTTTTGAGCACCACAGACAGCCTAGGGTTTGCATACAGTCACTACACGTTTCTTTTGATTCACAATCAATTTCCTTAACACCTACGCCACTTATTGGACAAAATAGTAACAGTAATATTACTATAAGGCGAAACATGTTTGTTTTTGTTTAAGATTTGCCAACTAAATGCATCTTTAGCCGGACGAAAACAAAGATAAGTTTCCTCAAAACGGAAGTGAGTAAATGAACTTTTCATTAAAGACACATTGTAAACACAGTATATCACACAAGATGAATATTCAGGGTTACTTTTATCTAAAGCGTCCATTAGGATTTTTGTACATAGGAAACTATGCAAGCATGTCAGAGATTTCTTTTCTGCACGATCTACCCTGTGTTTTAGATAAATTACAATACAAATGCAAATTATTATAATAGTTACCTTTACATTTAGCAAGGAAATAAATAAAACTGGGTAATAATTTCATTTGAAATAACGAGTAATGGCGTACTTCCCATATAATTACACAAATGGCCTTGTTTTGAAAAAATTGTAGTTTCATGAAATTCTGTTGTAGAAATATACCAAGCTTCAAATCGATACATTTTTGTTTTACGAGGTTTGTTCAAAATGTATGGCAAATTTCCGCGGCTTACGTATCTTAGATTTTCGATTTTTTTGTGGCGTTATGGGTTTATGGTTATGACGTGGAAACCAAAGCTCAATCATCCCAATGAAAGCTGCCGTAAGAGTCAAGACCGAAAAAAGGGCGCTAAGTTAGGTCGAATGTGAAGGTTTTGTTTACGGTTTTCTTCAATTGCAGGGGCGCGGTACATCATGAGTTCTTGCCACAAGGTAAGAACGGTCAATAAAGAATGTTACCTGCAAATTATCCGCAATTTGCGCGAAGCAATCCGCCAGGAACGCCCGGATTTGTGAAAGAACAAAAATTGGCTTTTGCAATATCATAACATCCCTGCTCACACATTGTTGCACGTGCGCGAATTTTTGGCCAAAAATAAGACACTGATAATGTCGCAGCCGTAGACATTTATTATCGGACGTGCCTTAGTCGTTGTAATAATTTCTTGGCTCGAAAAGTGAGGGAGATGGCAAATGGTTTCGGACTAGTCTATCTCTTTCATGACTCTATCGTGAGAGAGATGGATATTGTCCGAAACTTCGTTCCGTCTCTTTCTTTTGTTGTACCACAATTCTGACAGCCAAGGCACGTCCATTAGTAAACGTCGATGGTTACAGCCACCATATTCCCTAGATCTGGCTACCCTGTGACTTTTTCTTGTTCTTGAAACTGAAACAGCCTATGAATGGACGATGCTACGTTACATTTGAAGAGATAAAGACGGCATAGAAGGAGGAGCTAAACAAGATCACAAAAAATGATTTTTTGAATCGCATCGAGGTGAACTGGTAGTGATTAGTTTGAAAGGGGCAAAATAGATATTCATGAATAAATAAATTGTTTTTAAAAACATACAAAATTTGCGATACTTTTTGAACAGACTCCGTACATCAATCGCCCTGTAGAAGCATAGCAATAGTTCTGAGAGTCAAGATAATATACATATGGAAAAAGTGATGATAGTAATCCCATATATACGAATGTAAACTGTATTTTACACCAGATGCATCTGCTACTACCAGCCTAATGTCTTACGAATATGGATGATTAATAGATCTTATCTGTTAGCGTTGTTAGTAACTCATTTTGTATAAACAATTTTTTCAGACAGGTTAAACATTCCATAACAAGTTTCATTTCTAAATATCCAATTAATGCTAATGCATTGGTATTTTACATTTTCTTCACTGAAAGACTTTCAAAATTTTTTGTTTGTAGTTGATATGAAAATAAATGCGACCGTTCCTTTGCAGCTTAAAAAAGAAAAGTGAATTTCCTTCAAATATAAATTTATTCAGTTACTCTACATGTCTACATGAGAAAAACATAAACAAATGGTACATACAATGACTTATACAATTTACACGCCAAAAAATATTCAGGTACATTATTTTCATATTTAGACAGTCATCATCTCCTGTCTTTGGGAGTTTGGCTACGACTCCTATCCGGATCCTAGAAACAATAGGCAAGGTGTAAATGTAAATAAATAACTTGTTAATAGTTTTAACCAAAATACGTTACTATGTTAAATTTTGAAGAATTTTAGAGAAATATTTGCAAAATTTTGCAGCTACTGTTCTATTATTGGATACCCATAATTGTCATTTAAAAAAGTGATAACGATGATTCTCAAACTAACCTTTCCACGAGATTGTCCTCTCTTATCATCTCCACTGCGACAGATACATGTTACCTTCCTAGACTGACCTTCACCTTTCCCACTTTGTTTACCCTGAAATTATTCAAGGTTTTTAAAACTTTATAATTAACAAAAAGAAGCTCTTGAACGGTGGATGATGGCCGTGTCGCAAAACAAAAGTTTAGTCGGTCTACTGGCAAAGTTAAATTCATTTAACAATTTAAAGAATTCAATTTCACCGACAAAATTAGATTATTATATAAATAAATTAAATGTTTAAAAGCTTTGGAAGTATGATGTTATAGGCGAATGATAAGGATATCGTAGGTTCGTAGGTGAAGAAGGTTCGAAATTGAGATTAGAAAGAATAGGAAAACAAAGAAAAGACACCGTTTCAGGCATGAAGGGCTAGTTAGAGACATATTAGAAGCGGAAACAGGAACAGGAAGAAGAGGAGAAGTAGACCTAAACGTATGGGATGTTCTCGTTTTAGAGAAATGTGAAAATTAGCTCAGGATAGGAAAGAGTGTTTTAGGATTGACGACCTTATGATGATGACGATGATGTTAATTACATTAAGTTTAAACTTAACATTGCACAACTTGCATAGTATCTTTCTGAAAGACGTCTAATCGGGTAAAACTGATCGCAAGATGTGACAGTAAGGTACAAGTAGAATTTATTAGAATCGGATGAAAGTTAATATTTGTCTATTTGTTTATGACATACAGCTCACGAACGAATAAACTGAAGAGCTATTTTAATTGTATCAAATAGCAGCAGTGGCAAAAATTTATAAAATTTTGCGTAATGGCATACCTGGCAATCGTCCTGATCTTTTGGTTGACATGAACAAGACTTTCCTTGTCCCGATTGCAGCATAGTTTTCAAATATCTACTACAGTTTCTTTCTTTTTCCAATTCTGCTTTTAAACTCCTACACTGGGCTCTCTCTTCTTCGATGGCACTTCTAAATTTACAACGTGCATAAACGTAAATAAAAGTATAATGCTTTAAGGTACCTAATATACAAAATGGTACCTCAATTGTAGAACAAATTTTTCACTTGACAATTGTTTCATCAAACAAGTGAAATAAAATTTGGTAAAACAAATTAACGAAACCTCTCGTCAAACATTTTTTGACTTCAATGAATTATTGGTCGTTGATTGATGAGTATTGCATTCTCACTATCACGCAAAAAGAATTTAATATACAACTACAAACAGTAGCGCACGTTAATTACTTGTAGTTTAGATTCATAACATCAGATAAATATTTTGTCATTCATTAGTTAATGTTTATTTGGGCAAAGTGAGCTAATCAAGTTGAAAATAAGATTTGAATATTTCGAGCGAAGATTTAAAGTGTTCATCCAACAGTTTTTCTTCGGGATTGTTGGGCATGATTTATTACACAATATACTGGCAAGAAATTTAGGAAATTTCACACATAAAAGTTTCAATTTTAAGTAACTGGAAATAAAATTTGTGGAATCAATTTTAAAAATGTGTAAAAAGTTATTTGAACACTAAGCGTAATCACGAGTTGATAAAGTTAATATATCTGAATTAAATCATAATTCAATCCGACTCACCGGCTCCTGCTCTAATGAAATAAATTTTCCGATTTTCCATTACCTTGTTAATAAATTAAATTTCATTGTAATGGAATGTTCCGTTAACTTGTTGACAATAATTTCATTTTTATTCGTTATAAATTTCAATACTACCTACCTTAAGTCGTTAATCTTTTCTTGGGAGAAGTAGTTCTGTTTTTTAATTATATCGCTCTCAACTTGGAGATTAGTAACGGTTTTCGTTTGTATTCCAATCCTTTCCATTAATTCTTTATTCCTCTGCTTTTCAATATCGAGCGCTTTCTTTAACTCGTCTAGATGTTGCTTTTCTATCTTTACCGCCATTGATAACGCAACGGCTGTGAAAGTGATAATAAATTTGTGATATTAATGCTTTTGTTTTGCAAATATATAAAAAAAAAATAAAAATGAAAACAGTCTTGCGTTTATAATGCCCACGTATGAAATGGGTGAAACACGTGTCCGCTCAAAAAGTTTTTGTGGTAATTAATAGGGATGAGTCTTCTTTTTAATTTTTTAATTAATTCTCACCTTTTTGTTTTGCACATTTTTGTTTCTTCTGTAGATCGTCCTCAAGTTCTTTTATTCTTTCCGCGTAAGTTTTCGGTTTTGCAGTGAGTGACGTTTGTGATTGGATAGAGTCTTTAGGAAGATCAGCTTTACACACAAGTTTCGCTTCAACCCCCTTTTCTTGACCCGATTTTTTCGAAATTGCACAGGTAATTTCTGTGTTAACCAATTGTAACTCTTTTAGAGTAATAATCTGCAATATTCCACAAAAATTACTACACTTAATATTATTCAGTAATCAGCTGTTAAATATAGTAATCAAAATTTAAAAGGTTTATTATTATTTAGTTTTACGAAATCGGCGCTAAATAAGGAGTACAGATGTAACTTTTTCCAAGTTTTACTGTATGTTTTGTCGCTCAACCTAAACCAAATTTTAATATTTATTCCTTTATAATCACACCGCTCTCTATAACGTAACGTGAGCGCTACGAAAATGCCGGTAGAAAAAGTTAGAAATAAGAAGGAATTTGAAAGAGGAGAAGAACATAGAACTCAATAATAAATAAGCGAGATGGAAGCTGGCAGCACACCACCTCAAATATAGAGGACTCAGTTGAATATACATTACAAACAAAATCAGGAGTTGAGAGAGGCAGATTAGATTACTGTTGGCAAACAAAAATGCAGGTTTCTCTAATTTTCAAGATATGCGAAGATTGGCCCAAGAAAGGAAAAAGTGAAGGTGTGTATGCAACCAGTTTTTGAGCCAAAAACCTAATGATAATTATGATCTAGAATATAGACGTTAATTAAGCTATTATCTATTCTTTGACTATTCTTTTAAACATCCTTAAATTTTGCCCGGATTTTTTATAACTCCCTATACTTAAATAGATCATTTTAAATTGAACAATACAATTACTTCAGAACCATAAAGAATTTTCATACATCCGGAACTGTTTTGCTAATGAAATTTTAATTACTTTTTGTTAGTATTAAATTATTTATCAAAACTCGGCATGTGCCAATTATCAGCTTCGACTTCCTTTAACATTCTCTTAAACATTTCACACACAAGCCACTGAAGAACATCCTGTACTAACTACTTAATATTCTTCAGAAGAAATGTGCTTGGGGTACTATAGAACTTCAAAGCAGGACAAGCTTTAAAATTGAGGTAGTTGATGGCGATATAGTAAGCTTTACATCATATTGCAGACAATTAACAGATTTGAAAGCATATTTTCTCATATAACTGCAACATTGCTTTTCTGCAACCAGGACGTTTTTAACTCAAATGTTCATGATTGTAGAACCTCAAGAATTTAATTTTACGGACTTTTGAGCAATTTCAAAATAATTGGAATTATTAGCAAAAATTTTAAACTGTTTCTATTACTTCACTTTCGAAAACTACTTAATTTTTTTTAGAAAATTAGAGAAGAAATGTAAACTAGAAACTTGTATGAAAGCAATACCTATAGATATCAAAAAATGAAAATTAATAACATATGAAGGTTCACTTTCGGATTTGTTTTTTCCAAATTTTATAACATAATCAGGATTGAATACGTGTTAAACTTCAGGAATCGACAATTACTAAGGCTATGAAAAGTTTTCCCTCATCTATGTCATGTCTGTTAAGCTTCCAGCACCTGATGGACTCAAATAGACTTACCTCAATTCCTTTTGTGATTATTTTAAAAAGTATAGTTTCAAAAGGTTTTCCGCACAGGCATTTATGAATATTCGCTGCACCCTCGCCGTCAGTATCTTTAGAAGTACCTCTGTCCGTTGTTTCGGCAGCCAATTCCTCAGTAAAGCAAATACATGCCACGTCCTGCTTCTTGGGCTTACACGTACAACCGACGTTCTTTTGCAATGGTTGTCCACAAGAACATGAAGCATCAAGGGTGGCTGATTTTAAATCTGCTCCCACACCCTTATTCGTACAAGGGAACATCGCTGTTATGTTTACGTTATCTACTGTATTCTGGCACAGGCATTTTTCCTTTGGCTGAAAAAAGGGCACACATTTTGTCTATTGAATTAAATGATAACTACTAAAATGTTTGCGTATTTATTAATCGTTTTATGAAATATGTTAAACTGCAAAAATTGTATAAATTTCAATTATAATTATGAAGAAATTTGTAAGTGAATGTTATCTGGTTGCATTTTTCTGCTTTTTCATAAAAATCAAACTATTTTAAAGAAGGTAATTTTATACGCATAATTAAAGTAACTTTTAGTAAGTTCATCCCTGTAAGGGACTACATATATATATATATATTCAAATAGTATAACTCTATTTGTTTTTAAATAAATTAATTAAACCGTTGTTCATTTCGTTTGCAATAGTTTAAATTTTCGAATTTTTTTTTCTCAGTGGTTATAAGTATCAAAAACAATAATTAATAAGATATAAAATAAATTAATGAACTAAACTATACTCAAAATACAAAAAAAAAACAAAAATTATAAAGCCCACAAGCAAAAATGACTTTTTACTTGCATATGCATATATGTAAAGTATAAAACTGATCCTAATTCCCGATGATCAAGAATACTTTTTCTAATTTGTTGTAAACTATTCACTGTATAAATGTGTTTCTATTTTACGTTTTCCTTTATTTCTTTTGATAATTTTCTAAATCAACCGAAAATGCAAATCATACGTATTATGCATTAAGAATTACTGAAAAATATTTTATTTTACTAAGACATATTAGGAATACAACCCTGTTACAATCAACACAAGTAACTAATATGTCAGAAATAAAACTTGTGATAATTAATTGTTTCTATATTTTCACCAAAAATCTTCTTTTTAGTGTATATTCTCTAATTTGCTAGAATACTAAATATTTATTCTTATTCTGTTATGAGAATATTGTCACCCTATAACAGTAGCTCACCTCATGCGTATATTGTTTATACAAAAATAGATTCTCAAATTTCATTGTGTACCTACTATATCCAAATAACTGAAAAACTGTTGATTTATTATTAAAAATTTTTTTATTCACTATAAATATAGTAATGACTCTAAGTACAAATGATTTATTAAAAACGATTCAAAATTAATTTGTCAATTGATTATTTTAATTCGTATTCTGACGTACTACGATTTTTATTCAAGAAATACAAATATTCAGAGATTTCAAAATTAGTGAGCACTTAAACAAAACATAGTAGACAGTAGTTCTTAATAAAATAATTAAAAGAAAAAAAACAATAGTTTCTATCCTAAA